AAAATAGAAGACCAAGTGACCACCTCGATTTCATCGAGTCAGGGACGCTCGTTGATTTAATCGTCGCATCGATTCCCCTCGATTAGCCGAATCGTCGTGGACGATCTAGTTAAAAATGTCCGTGGAAGGAAATTCGGTTCTCCGCTAATTCGAGACGACGACTTGGTCGTTTTAAAGCGGGACGTTCCATCGAGAACACACCGTGCCGAGCTTTCCGTGAACCGATGAAATGGAATCGTCCGTTCCGTATTTTCGTGACCTTCTTCCAGTAGAATCATCCGCGTTCCTCTCCCGTCGTCGTCTACTCGACGAAAATTCACGAATATCGTCTCCACGACGGAGACTCGAGAGGAGAATTTTTCGAGAACGCGATACTTTAATTAAATCGACGGTTTTTCGTTTGCGAGGGACCAAGAGTCGGGGCTCTTGGGACACGAAATATAGGGCATATCGGAGGATGGATTGAAACGAGAGGCGAGAGCACACGCGCAATAACACCGAAGAGGGCCGGCTGTCTCTCCTTTTAGCTTCGCCCGTCTGTTTTCGTCCTTCTAAACCCACCAACCGTGCTATTAATACACCCGGCTGAAAACGTGTTCGCTTTTCAGCGTTGACGAAAAAGCAAAATAGGGAAATTTCTACCTCTCGTCGAAAATTATCGATTATCCAGACAAGTTCGGTCGTCTCGAGTAGAGAGAGAGAGAGAGAGAGGTGCGTTTAATTAGCAAGTTTCGAAGATTTACTAAAATTCGACGCGCAAAGTTCGGAAACTTGCATTGTACTGTGTGTGTGTGTGTATACACGTTGACAGGAGGTGTTTCCGGTTCGAGACGGTATTACGAAATAATTTGCGCGTCGCGGCCTCGTCTGGGGTAATTTAAAACTGGCAAAGCGTGACCACTCGAAACTGTTCGGCTCGCCGTGAAATTGGCTTGGCAACTTTCGCCCTGGTGACTTATAACTTTGTTAACGGCTGCTGCGAAACTTTTCTCTCCTCGCCCGCTGCTTCTGCACAACTTGCTCGCCTCCCGAAGAGATCCTCCACCCTCTGATCCTCCTTGTTTCGATAAGTTAACCATGGTTAATTCTCGCCGCAACATTCCACTCTCCACTCTCGAAGGGTATAATGAAATACTATCTCCTGCTACTTGTTAGATCGTGGAATATTTCGGAGAAGAAAAGTTTCGAAATTTTAAATTTGCCAAATTACCTCGACGGAAATGCGCGATAAAGCGCCAAGTATTTTGCAGGGTGGTGTGCTTATGCGAGTCGCGCGAGTAACACGCGGCAATTTTCCGCGGGAAAGTTTCGCCTAGTTTGACACTTCCGTGAATTGTCATTTAATTCAGCCTTGAATCTCTCTCCATTTACCGGAGAATCTTTCCAGCGGAGATCTAATTTCAACTTTATTTACACTCTACACCTTTCCCTCTTTTCTCGCACCTTCTGGCTATACGATGCAGTCGGTGCAATGGAATATTTTGTATACGAAGTATGAATTTTTGTGAGCATCTGTGAAACAGATGATTGAAATGTCGCTGAAGCTTCTATTACTATATACAGGGTGTCCCAATTTTTTTTCCGATCAAACTTTGTCAGTATATTCTACGGGCTTGATAAAGAGAAAAATGTTATACAAACATAGGTGGTTTGAAGCTTTGTTAAAGAGTTATTCGTATTATTGTTATAACTTTTTAACGAAGCTTCAAACCACCTACGTGTATAGGACATTTTTTTCTTACCTACATCCGTAGAGTATACTGCGAAAGTTTGGTTGAAAACAATCGGGACACCCGGTATATAGAACTTGTAGTCTAAGAGTCCCTGGACGAGACGCATTTTTCTTTCACTCCTCGTTTATTTTCCCCCTATTTATTTCCTACTTGCACAATCAACTGCCGTACATTCACCGTAAACATCCGGTGTAGTATCCTCTAACGAACACAAACAAATGTGCACGATATTTCGTCGATAATGTATTCGTAAACGAAAATCGATGATAACGTAATCTCTCAGGGTATTGTGCATCGATCATTGGCCGTTTCTTCGTGGACGACAATTTCACCGATTTCCCATGGAACTGGAGCACGGCCAAGGGCCAACGGGTTATTAATAAATATTAATTATCGTTGTAATTCCGTTTCACGTCGACACGCACGCCAGTCATCGTCCGCGTTTATTAATTTCCAAGGAAGAAATTGCACGGTTTAATCCTTGCTACGCGCTAATGGTGGCGTGTTTCGATTCGATACTGTACGAAAACGCCTGTATTTTGGTTAAAAAGTTTGCACAACGTTAACGTGTACACGCTTTTCACACACGAGTAAGGAAAATTTGATCACGTAATGAGCACGATTGCTTCACCGTGGGATTATTATTGTTATCGTCGTTTTGCGCATACTTTGCTGTTCATAACCGTGATTAGATTGCACTCTATATCGCGTATTAACTCTTTCGCATTCACTTTGTCCATGTGACGCATTATCCATGTGAAAAGATTAAATAGAAATAGATGTTAAGTAAATGCGTTTCATTTAGAAATACTTTTCCAAATTATTATAAATAAGGGAAATATTCCAGGTGATCAAAGCTTTTGCCTCACCCTGTATATAAATTAATTTTCTACACAAGCAAGTAGCACGGGTCACGGATGACCCAGCTTAAAATAAAATAGCCTCCAAGTGGCACTGAAAAAATTCCTTTCTCCGAATTTCCCAAAAGGAAAACGTCCTTTCTCTGAATATTCCAAAAGGAAAGATTCCTTTCTCTTAATTTCCCAACAGGGAAAGTTCCTTTCCTCGAATTTTCCAAAAGGAAGAGTTCCTTTCTTCGAATTTTCCAAAAGGAAGAGTTCCTTTCCTCGAATTTTCCAAAAGGAAGAGTTCCTCACCTCGAATTTTCCAGAAGGAAAAATTCTTCTCTCCGAATTTTCCAAAAGGGAAAATTCCTTTCCTCTAATTTTCCAAGAGGAAAGATTCCTTACTCCGAATTTTCCAAAAGGGAAAGTTCCTTTCCTCGAATTTTCCAAAAGGAAGAGTTCCTTTCTTCGAATTTTCCAAAAGGGAAAATTCCTTTCCTCTAATTTTCCAAGAGGAAAGATTTCTTACTCCGAATTTTCCAAAAGAGAAAGTTCCTTTCCTCGAATTTTCCAAGAGGAAAGATTCCTTACTCCGAATTTTCCAAAAGGAAGAGTTCCTTACCTCGAATTTTCCAAAAGGAAGAGTTCCTCACCTCGAATTTTCCAAAAGGAAAGATTCCTACCCTCCAATTTTTATAATATTCTTTAT